AATGGGGAGAGCAGGATCTGGAGGGTCTGGGTCTAATCCCCTCCTGTCTGACCCCAAGAAGGTCTCACATCTTCCCCCATCAGCACAGAGATCACAGAATCCCAGATGATGGATAACCAGCCTGCCCTACCAAGTGGTGAGAATTAACTAGTGGCCTGTAAAGTAATGTTGAGAGCCTCAGCTGACAGGTAGTATATAACTGCAACCTCCATTATATCATCCCACCATCCCCCTTGCCAAAAACCTGCCTTTGCAGAAGAGATCCAGACACCAAATACGTTCTTAAGTGAGGATGTCTGACAGTAGTTCGGCTATGGAGGGATGTTAAATAGGAATAAGAATGAAACAGTACTCATCATTTGAGGATGCTGTACCTCTTCAAAGCACTCCACCAAAACATTAACTGATTAGACCCCAAAGAAATAACTCACAGATGTTAGAGGGCTCCAAAAGGATGGACCATCATCCATCCTGGCTTCTACAGGGGATGCATGCAATCAAGAGCTCAAATGAAACCACTTTCAGGCAGTTGAGCTTTTAGTGCTCTTTGGACACCTCAAAGCAGGGTTTGTTGGTAGAAAAAGAACCAGAGGCCTCAGCTCCCTCTTCAATTGCAGGGGAAAGTTGTGAGAGAGCCAAAGCCTCATTCAAAGTTCAAGGTCACACTGGTAGAACTCCAGTTTCAACTTACCCTCAGCACAAAGAGCTGCGTGCCAGACAGCTGAAGGCATCTATGGTGTGTGCAGCCACAACCAGGAGGACAGAGGGTGGCCCTCTTGTGGTAAACACAGCGAGCTCATCCAACAGCCCCTTTGGCACTCAGCTGCCTTCATGTAAGCCTGGACCTCACTACTGCAAGTCCACAGGATGCTGAAGAGCCAGGACCACCTTCCCCTAGTCCACATCCCTCTCCTCTGGCCCCCTCTCCCACCCCTAAACCAAGCTGCTCCAGGTACATAGCAAAAGGCTTCTTGCTCTAACTGCCTGGTCCAGAGAGCATCAGGGCACTTGCATCTGAATAAACCCAGAAGTGTTATTCCCACATATTGGTTTTCCACCACCAGAGCTGCTTCCTGGCCTGCTCCTTGCAGGCAGATGCCTGGAAAGCCACAAATGTGGAGCTGGGACCTTCAATAACCAGCAAGGTTAAACAAACCCTTACAAAAGGTTGCTTGTCCCAAGCTGCACGCTCCCTGAACTCTGCCACTGCCCCAACACTGTGGTTGGCTTTCATCCTCTTGTGGTTCCTCAGGAAAACAAGCCCTGAGAAGCCCAAACCCAACCACCACTTTACCACCACTTAAGGAAGCATTAGGCTTGGCTTCTTTAGTCTATCCCTTCCAAAAGCAAAGCGGTGCAGCACAAACACCTCTCCTGAGGGCACATGAGGGCACATATGCCTTAGCACAGCAGTGGAGAAGGGGTTGAGCACCCACAGAGCATCACTGGGGATAGAACCTGCAGGAATCAGCACCCAGAGGTCCAAGAGAACTTCATCCCTTTGCATCATTTTGGGGGATGAAGCGAAGGAGAGCAGTGTCACCAAGGGAAAAGCATCAAGAGGCAGGTCAGGAGTAACATCTGCTTTCTAGATGCCAGTGGCTAAGATGAAGGTAGAGCACCCAACCCTGCACCTCTGCAGGGTTCCAGCACACTGGAAGTCAAGGCTTGCTAGGGAAGGGGAAGAGCAGAGCTCTAGTGAAGACACACTGCCACATCCAGAGGGAAGCAGTGTAACCCCTCACCTTCCTCAGGATGAACGCTCACAGCATGCAGAGCCTCCCAGGAGTCTGGGTTTCAGCCTTCCCTACCATATGCATGCAGTGTCCTGGAGAGCATCCTGCCACACATCATCAACATGCCCAAAGAATCCCAAGGTGACTGTGGTGAACGTGGAACCTCCCCTACCCTCAGCTTTACTGAGGGGTATCACTATGTTTGGTGAGCTCTTTATGCTCTGCAAGACAGGAATCACACCTCACACTGTGCTAGAACTTACCTGGGTCTATACAGCTTAATGAAGCTGTTTAAACACACACCCTGCACACCACGTAAGCTCGATGTAGCATCTACCACAAGGTCTATCAGATCTATCTAGGAGGACGTGCATACGGGCTGAAAACTCACCCCTGCCTTGTGCATGGTACCAAAACAGCCTCACCACACCACACCAGCTTGAGATATTAGATCTGTGCCGGTATGAAGGGACTGGACAGGAAGGATGCTGCAAGAGGCACTGTGGATGTTGGTGGCAAGAAATGCAGCTGTCCTTTAGGTCCTGCAGCGTAAAACATAAAGCAGGCTGTCAGCAGGTCTGAAATACAGCTCACAAACAACCCTGTGTGGGGCATGAGAGTGGGAAGAGCCAAGACCTGTTGCTTATCAGCCCTGGAGTGCATAGGCAGAGCGGCATGTGAGCTCCAGGGCAGGTATGAGCCATGGGGCACACACACAGGCTGATGTGAGGTGCTTGCTGCAGCCCCCCAAGTGCTGCAATGGGGAGATGTGGAGGGTGCAGCACAAACAGCACCTGCTGAGGCCGTGCCTGGATCCTCTCAGCACTCTCAGCCTCTCCCTTGGAAGTCAAAAGCCACCACAAATGGAGTTTCTCCCATCCAAGCCTCAATCCTTCCCCCTCTGAGCTCATCCATGGCTCCAGCACAGCTGCTTGGCTGCCAAGTCCCCCCAGCTCCCCACAGCACAGAGCAATAGGATGGGGTTGATGCTGGGCCAGATGTTAGACATCACTGCAGGGCTCCAGCAGCCACAGACCAAGCAGGGAGAGAGAAAACCAACCAGCACAAAGCCCTCTGCTCCTTCTCATCGTGGTCTCATTGTTACCAGCATCCTTAATGCTCCAAAGCAAGCCCTGGCTCAATGACAGCTCATTAGAAGCACTGCAAAAATACACTGGGTGGGACCAAAGAGCTCAGGGAGCAGCAGGGGATTTATTTCACACCTAAGTGCTTGCTTTCAGTGCAGCTCAGGTCAATACAAGTGGCCTTGGGCCAGTGCCAGTGGACTCCAGTGTGAAATCCCCCTCTCCACCAGGCTGAAGCTCTCAGGGCTGCAGGGCCTGCTGCTACAAGAGGTTTCATGTGTGTTTCTGTACAGGCTCTGCTTCTAAGACCTGCAAGCTTAACTCAAAGGCAGAACACCCTCTCCACTAAAAACAGCCCTTTTCTAACCACAGAGAGTCACTCCTGCAACAAAACTCGTTGGAAAACACCCATGTTGGTTAAATTAGAGCACACTGAAGCAGGCAACAATGCCCCTGGGTTTATGGGAAGCATGTTGTCACCCCACAGTGAGCTACCAAACGTCCTCAGCTGACACTAACCAGCAGCAGAAGGACAGGGAGAGGATGGAGAGAAGGGCCTAGGAACAGCACAAATATCCCTCACCAAGATGGGGAGGCAGAGGTGCATCCTGATGGTCAGGATCTATCTGGGCCCATCACCAGTGTTTGTGGCATCCAAGCCCCATCCCAACCTGATGGACAGGGATAGATCCTGAGCCTCAGGATGCATAGATCCACATAGATCCTGAGCATCAGGATGCTTAAGAAACATCCCCCCACCTCCTTCCTGCTCTGTAGAAAAGCAGAGGCCCAACCTGCCAGCTCCATGCAGCTTGGCAGAAGGTTATGCTCCCTGGCAATCAGGTTGCAAGAATTAAAGCCCCATAGCAGAGTTCCAAGCTCTGCCTGCCATCAAATGCCTCCTCAGCCATTCCCACCATCATCTCCCCAAGGCACAGCAGTGATTCTATGCAGAGTGTTTCTCCAGTGCTGAACCCTCCCCATCTCCACTCTTTAGGGCTGCATCTTAACCCTGGTGTGTGGCCATCCCCAACACCCTGCCCTGCCTGGCTTCCAGTTAAGCACTGGGAGAGGAAGGGGATTGCACCTCTGGTGTAGAAGAGGCTCTTGGCTTCTCAGGAGGAGCTATCGTTGCACATGCATCATCTCCCACATCCTCTCAGCACGTTCAGAAACAGCTGACTAGTCACTTACCAGAGCCTGGTCCAGATGAACTCCTCCCTTCCTGTCCTCTGCCTTCCAGAAAGCTGGTCTCTCCCTTTGGAGAAGTCTCTCACCTACAGCAAAGGCTCTGGCTTTGTCAGTGCTGGTGAGAACGGGAGCCACTACAAGCTCTGTGACTCCTTTTCTCCAGCAGAAGCATCCTGACAGCTCCTTACCTTCACTTCAGCCCCAGCTCTGCTTTCCAAACCCCCACTGTCTGCAGGTGGACAACACAAGCCTGTATCTGCCTCAACACCACTCCTGGGCAACTGGCTCCTTCCTCCTCCATTCCTTTATCCTCTGAGGCTTTGCTGCATGCAGAGGACAGATGTCCACGGGACAGATGTCCAGGCTGCTGCCCTGGGGGATGTAAGTGCAGGATGAGGTAAGGCAGGAGGAAATGGGTGCTCTACACTGCAGGGAAGGACAGCTGGGGCTGTTCCCAGGCTCTGGAGTGCCTGGATTGATAAATACCAGAGCTGAACCTGAAGGAAGGCTGGGCATTCACAGCCAAGCTGCTTGGGAAGAAGCCCTGGCCTTTGTTGCACAATCTCCACTCAAGGCACTCACTGTACTCAGAGGGAAATGAGGGCTAAGGAAGTACACCCCCTCAGTGCTACAGAGCCCAAAACACAGCTCAGCACAGGCTCCAGCTTCCCCCAACCCACACACACACACCCAATGGAAGCCACAGCACAACTGCAGCCTCCCTCAGAGCACACAGCAGTCTCAAGCTCGCCTTCGAAACCTCAGGGGAGAGCCACAGCAACAGCAAACCTGGAGCCTTCACTCCAAAACAACATTAAACACAAACCCAACTACTCAAAGGGAAGTGAAACCAGCAAAACCTTTAGTCTGGAGCTTTACAGCGTTCAGCAATGCAACCTCATGCTTCCTCAGACACAAGCAATTGATAAGGCATTCAAAGAGAGCTCCCGTTGGTTCCAACCGTCCCCAAAGTTCACCCAGATCCTACCTTACCACACACGCAGCAATGCAGATCCAAGCAGGGCTTTCTCTGCTGCATCAAGCTGCCACGTGGTAGCTGAGGATGCTTTCAGTGTTGGAGAAAAGACCTGGAAACAGAGGGGAAGGAAAGGCTTAAGTCTTCAGAGAAATCCCAGCCTCCTTGCTGCTCCTCAAGTCTTCCACCTCTAAGGTCACTGCAAGCTCTCACCACAAAGGGGATCTCAAACATGCCAAGAGAGCTGCTTCTCTCATCCCTTCCCTAAAGAACTCAGCCTCCACTGAGCCTGGTTTATAAACTCCTCACCCCCTGCAGGACAGGTTAATGGGAGCCACCGGGTTCCTCCACCTCTGCAGGTGGGACAGTTTGCTTCGTCAGCTCTCTTCTTCCTTGCTGCCCAAACAGGCAGAGGTGGCCCAGGGAGTTGCCTCTGGATCCACTTTAAACCCTCTATGGCTGAGTGGTACCAGGGGCTTGGGAAGTGCTGGGGTTTTCCAATGTATTTGCAAAGCCCATAGGATGCCTGTGCAAGAGATCCTATGTGAGTCGCACCTAAAACCCCATACAACACATACACATTAGCATCCCAGCCTGGTTTGGGTTGGAAGGGACCTTAAAGCTCATCCAGTTCCAACCCTGCCATGGGACACCTTCCACTATACCTAGCATCTTCATGGCCTCCTCTGGACTCATTCCAGCAGCTCCATGTTTCTCTTTGCTTTTGCCTTCCCCATGTACCAGCCCTGGTTTCATCCCAAAGCCCAGCTCTATCTCCTTCTCCTCTTCCAGGACACAACTGCCACTTGCTGCATGCCTGTACTAGAAGTGAAGAGCCCAAAGTGAACCACTTCCATGCAAGCCCTTCCTCTGAAGTACCCAGTGATGCTAAAGCATAAATGCCTCGGGAACAAGCTTCACTCTTAGGATTGTTACTGTTCCTTCATGGATTTGGGAAACCTTGTGATAAGCAAGAGGCACTGATGAGGCTGGCACAGGAGAAGGGATGGGGGCAAAGCTTCTCCTCACCAGGTTTCCCACCTGTGCCTATTGCAGCCCATCTCCTGCGATGGCTCCCATCCATACAGAGCTCTGACATGAAGCAGCCTGCTCTGGAGGGCTGCTGGAGGTCGGGGGGCTGTTGTGGAGCCCCACACAGCTGTTAATCACAGGATCTCTCCGGCTCCCAGCAGCTGTGTGCTGTTTATCTTAGCCTGGATATCTCCTGGCCGAGCCTGGGGAGAGCAGGCTGTGCAGCCAAGGCAAACACAAAGGGGAGACTGCAGTTTGCACACAAGGGTGTGCACGTGTGTGCTCTGTGTGTGTGTGTGTGTGTGCACGTACGTGTGCGGGTGTGTGTACACGCAGACTCTGTTCACAGCCCACTGCTGCGGCTGGAAGGGCTCTGGGTTGAAATCAGCGTGGGATGTGGTGGATGTGTTGGCACATATAGAAGGGGAGTGTAACTGCAGCTCCAGAGCGTGAGCAGCAGGTCCAAGGGGGGGGATTCTCCCCCTCTGTTGTGCTCTGTGAGACCCCCCCTGCAGTCCTGGTCTAGCTCTGGGGCAACAGCACAAGAAGGACATGGAGTTGTTGGAGCGAGGCCAGAGAAGGCCATGGGGATGCTGCGAGGGCTGGAGCAGCTCTGCTCTGGAGCCAGGCTGAGAGAGCTGGGCTGGGTCAGCCTGGACAAGAGAAGGCTCCTGAAGGGGAGACCTTAGAGCAGCTCCAGTGCCTAAAGTGGGAACCTGGAGTGGGGCTTTGGACAAGGGATGCAGGGACAGGCCAAGGGGAATGGCTTTAACCTGCCAGAGGGGAGACTGAGATGAGCTCTTAGGCAGAAGCTCTTCCCTGTGAGGGTGCTGAGGCGCTGGCACAGGGTGCCCAGAGAGGCTGTGGCTGCCCCATCCCCGGCAGTGTTCAAGGCCAGGTTGGACACAGGGGCTTGGAGCAAGCTGCTCCAGTGGAAGGTGTCCCTGCCCATGGCAGGGGTTGGAGCTGGATGAGCTTTAAGGTCCCTTCAACCCAAACCATTCTGGGATGCTATGAAATATTATTACCCCTTCATACCAAGAGAGACCAGAATATGCAATGACCACAGCTGATCATTTCCAAAGAGCACCAGGACATTCCCAGTCTGACCTCCCCAGTCAGACAGTGGAGCCGGGGCAGGACCCCTGCCTGGAAATCCATCCCAGGCAGCAGCAGTTTAGGACGATGCTGCCCCATGAGCGCAGAGCCGAAGCCGTTTTGACAGAGGGAAGGGGTGAAGAGTGGGAGGTTGCACACAACGCGACTGGGAAAACAAAGTCGAGGGCTCAGTTAATAATGTGTGGTCTGAGAAAACAAACACCACTCCCCATCAAGACCCCAGCTCAAATAAACTGGTGCTCTTGTCATTAAACCCCACCAGCTGCAGCTCTGGTTTCTAGTGTCAAATTTAAAGGGACCATAGAGCAGAGAACAGCATCCTTTGGAGCACTTTAAAATCCAGATGTGGCTGAAAGACACCATGAGCTGGACTCATCGCTACCTAAACCCAGTGTGCTGCAAGTGCTTCAGCTTCTATGGAGGGAGCCTAAGGTGAAGGGGATGGTTTCTTGTCTGCAAAACCATGAAGGCCCTGAAAAGGTGGATGTGTGGAAAAAGGGCTGTTTGTGCCCAAAGTGATCCATGCCCTGTGGAGCTCTTTCTGCTCCCTCCTTGCAACAGGTAAACCCCAGACCTGAGAAACCAGGCCTAGAACTAAAACCCCTTGAGCTTTAAGGGAGTGGAGGGCTCCATGCTCTGCTCAGGTTGCCCTTTCATGCCTGACTGTTGCTCATCAAGGCCCTAAGGCTAAGAATGAAACAATGGAGGGTGAGGGCTCCCTCTGACAGCTTAGCTGATGGTTGGGATTAGGGACTGGCCCACACAGCTTTCCATTAGAGCACTGTGCAGACACAATGTTGTGGAGAGACTGTGCTTCATGGCCAGGAAAAGGGCATCAAGGCCCCAGACCTTCAGGGAAAAGGGGAGCATGAGGACTTGGTGCAAACAGAATCATTGACTCATTGAATGGCTTGGGTTGGAGAGGACCTTAAAGATCATCTGTTTCCAACCTCTGTGCTCCTATGGATTCAGAGCTGGCCACCAGTGTGTGTTCTCAGTGCAGAGTGAAGTTTCATTTGCACGGAGTTTGCCTTCTGGGTACCTGCAGGCACAGTTTCATTTCATTCTAATGGCACATCCATCACTTTAAACCCCTTTGCAGCATCCCTGATTACTGCCCAGGCTGCAGGCAGCATCTTGAGGCTCTGCTTCTTTCTCTCCACACAGTCTGTGTTCCCCTAGATGAGCCTGAGCATCTTTCCTTACTCCACAGTAAGGCTATGAATCACTTACCAGCCTTCTCCAAGCACTGCCCAAGATCCCCTGCTGCACTTGGGGTGGTGCTGGGTAGCTGAGGTGTCTCGATTGCTTCCCTTCTTTTGCTTCCTGAAACATTAAACAGATTTTCTCACATAGCAATAGGAGTTCTCCTCCTCCTGGGCAATGGCTGCTCTTCTCTTTTCTAGGAGAACTTGTGATTGGGAATGGCAGAGGAAAAGGAAGTGAAGTGGTTCTTGTGCCAGAATCCCTCCTGGCATCCCTCCCATGTCTAGTTTCTCTTCCATTAGAACGATGGAGTAAAGTTGGAGCAGAATCAGCTCTCTGATCCCTTGCAGCGGTACACAAAGGGGTAGTGCCATGCAGGCACCAGTGGTGGGGAAGGAGAATAGCCTCAGAGTGTTTATGAGCAGTCATAACCTTCATCAAATAACACTCAAGGATATGTAAAGAAATCTGTTCCACCGCAGCCTCCCAAGCCAAATAAAGGACTAAATGGGACTTCTATCAAGCCATGCATGTTGGGTTCTAAAGGAAAATATCCCCTTTTCTTGGGGAAGAGCCAAAGCTCCAGAGGAGCCGCCCTAGATCAAACCAGTGGCCAAATCATGCCAAGCATTCAGCCTCCTGCTGTATCCAGCTCCAGGGCAGGGAAAAAAGGGGATGCCCTGGGATGAACCCGGCCACCACGTCTATGTATGGGTGGAAGAAGATGCTCCCCCTAGCATCACAGATCTCCGTGTACCCATTTCGCTTTGTAGGAGTTTCATTGTCTCCCTCTCCCCTGCTTTAGTTTCTAGATGATGTAGAATTACATGGGAAAAGGCAAAAAGCAGAAGAGAAACAGACCCAGTGTAACAGAGGTGCATGTAAATAATCACTGCCCTAATCCCCTTTGACAATGAAAGATATCCAACCCCAAAGTGTTCCCGTCTGCAACTCAACCTGCAACTACAGCACAAGGAAGTGGTGTCAAAAGGGGACTTGGGTTCCCAGAAAAGCCTCTGTAGGGCCCCCAAGGCAAGAAACCAGAGCAAACTTCCAGACATAACATGTGAGAAGTGCAGGCCTCACAAAGGGACGTGTTAACCTCCGCTGGAGACACAGCCGCCAGGAATGCGGAGGGAAGGAAGACTTGGAGCCCAGATGCAGTACCTGCCATGCTTCCCAGCTCAGATGCAGCAGGCTGGGGTATGTTATCCCATGGGGGCTGAAGTCACTTGAAACCAGGCTGGACAAAGAAGACTGGTCTGTTCTCCTCCATCCTTGTGCAGCTTGATGGCTGATGGAAGAACATTCCTTGGTGCCTGGAGACCCTAGGCAGAGAGAGGGGATTAAAGAACATGACTGTGGTTTCAATTCTTTTCCCTGTGTCACTTCTATCCCTGAGGATACCCAGTGGGGGAGGCCCATAGCACTGCATGGGCAGGACTGAAATCCTCCTGCAGGCAGCACAGGTCACCCGGGGAGCAGAGGGAACCTCCAATTGAGCAGGTACTCAAGTCCATGTGAGGACATCTGAGACTGATGCCTCCTTTGCAGTCAATGAAGACACTTAAGAAGAGAAGGAAGAGAATCCTCGAATGGTTTAAGCTGGAAAGGACCTTGAAGATCATCAAGTGGTGGTCCCATGGTCAGGGACACCTTCCACTAGACCAGGTTGCTCAATAAGAGAACCCCTAAGAGAGCATCAGCAATGTCCCACAGTGCAGCAGAAAGAGCCCCACTGGTCTCTAACATTTGCATGCTGCATCCTCTGCCTGCACAGGAAGCAGCAGCATCCCAGAGGAAGGGAAATACTAAGAGGAAAGTGCGAAAAGGAGCAGCAGAGCTGCTCAACTGTGGCACTTCACAGCTTCTCCTCCTGCCACGAGTAGTGTTGGCTGCGTTTTGTCTTTCTTTATCCAGGGCCTCCAGACACAAGAATCCATTGGTATTGAATTCCCGCTGCATGCGACAGGATCCCTTCCCTTCTCCACTGGGGAGTTTCTCTTTGCTGCTTGGGAATGT